ATACCTCGCCGCAGAGATCCTAGAACTCGCCGGCAACGCAGCCTGCGATAACAAGAAGCACCGTATCATGCCTCACCACCTGCAACTCGCCATCTGGAACGATGAGGAGCTCGGCAAAGTGCGTTTACTAGTCTGCCTCTACTCATTCCCGCTCACAAGCCACCCCAGCTGCTTGGCTCCGTCGTCATCTCCCAGGGCGGTGTCGTACCACACATCGACCCCTCGCAGCTGCCCGCAGGAACCAGTACGTGCTCGCGTTTACTACCTCTCGCCAATTTGTTTTACTGACTGTGCGTACAGAAAAGGGCAAGACGCCTCCCAGGAGCTGTGATTTCCCTTTCGCCTTTTCTTACATCTGTTCCCTACATCCATTTGTATTGCCTGTAACATCATCTATTTTATTTCTTCCACGCACCAAATTCACTAGATTTGTTGGCTACATTTCCGCATCGTGATTATTGGCATCTCTTGCATCCAACGTCCTCCCAAATTCCTCTCCATTGACCATCTCCAGTCCTCCAGGCCTCCATATGCGTGCACTTGAATCGCGAGGCGTTTGACTGGGTACTTGGCGAGGTCGAGTCGTGGACCACCGATTACCGGTACAGTCGATGCTGGCTGCGCAGGCCGACGGTGGTATGACACCGGGGCAGGTCGCGATGACTCCATACGACACGAACTGCCCGGTCTGGCAGGACGGAGTCTTCAAAGGAGATCAAGCTGCGTTTTCACGGCGACGACAGGCCGAATTTCACCGCTTTCCAGCCCGGATGGGGTCAAACCCCAGTCGGCTCAGGTGGAATGTCGCACGCTGGCCCGCAGTACAGCCTGAGCTCCCCCAATATGTATTCGCCCACATCGCCAGGGTACGTGCCACAGTCGCCGTTTGGAGGCGCAACATCACCTTTCGGGACATCGCCATATGCTACATCGCCGTTTTACGATCGTGAAGCCCGCGGACCCACTTCACCGACGTACTCCCCTACGTCGCCTATGATCTTGGTGTTGCCAAGATACTAACCAGTGAGCCCGCGGTATTCCCCCACTTCCCCATCGTTTTCTCCAACTTCGCCGCGGTACAGCCCGCAATCGCCGTTGTTCAGCCTCACATCACCCCGGTACTCTCCGGCGAGCCCGTCGTTCAGCCCGGTGTTGCCACGGTGTAAGTGTGTTTCGTTCTATTCGTGCTTGGTGCTGATTCTTGTCCTAGATTCTCCAAGCAAGTGTTCTCTATTCTACTTCTCAATTTCACTAACCTGCCATTTTTTTGTTCCACCTTTTCACGGCTTGTAAGCGTGCTACATTCCCAAGTTGTACACTGACTGACTAGTCTTTTTGTAAGCCCCAGCGCAGCTCTCGCCTACGTCGCCGAAGTATTCACGCACCTCACCCATGGCTTTGCCGTCGTCTCCAAAATACTCTTATTTTCGTATGGTAAACTCACACTCTTCATACAGCGCCGACCTCCCCGACGTATTCTCCAGCCTGTGAGATTTCCTTCCTTTGCTCTTTCGACAAGATACCGTGACACTGACAATGATACCCCTTTGACAGCACCTTTGTATCGTCAGTATCCGCCTATCTATTTTCCTCACTTAATACTAACTGGTGCTTCAGCTCCCGCCTCGCCTGCTTACAGTCCGACGTCACTGTCATGGTCTCCCTTGAGCCCTGCTCAAACATCGAACGGGCAAGTCGGAGTCATTCTTACCAGGCCTCGCCCTCATGGGAGTAAAGACGGTGGAGCGCCCCATGTACATATCTTGTTGTCTTTGTTATGCCCCATCAAGTACACCGTCAGTTCCTCTGGCACCTTCTCCACTTCTTTGTCCGAGTCATCAAACGGGTTGTCTTCCCAGACGGACTTCGTTGTCTGAAATAGACGCCTCCATCATACTCACACATTTGTTTTTTTAACTGATCTCTCTCTACTCCCTTTACACCACTACGAAGACGGACATTTAATACCTCTCATACACAATTCATTCCTTTCTTGAAATACTCAATCCTGATTCGTTATTCCGAAACTGATATTGACTGGTCTCTGATACCACTACAATTGTACTTATTTTCCGTTACAAGGCACGGCGTTAGGCCTTTGACATGAACATTCCCGCTGGGATATACCGGATGAGTTGTATTGTAACACCTCGAAGTCGCCGACGTTGACTCGGATCCTCCCACTCGCCGCATGACATTCAGCACATCTGGGAAACTGCAGTGTATGCTATGCTATGCTATCTCAGCCACCAAATGTATTTTCTTCCCCGTTCATCTCCCTCCCCCACTTTCTGTGGTCCTGGCCACAATTCAATGGTCAATTGAGATGTAGCTGCTGTAGCTGAAGGCTCATGTCCATATTATGTATTATTAATATATTCTACCACGCGCGCTGAACTTGGCGCGCGCGCGGAAAATAATTTTTGTACAAAGGAACCGTCATAGGTATGTACTAATCTCTCCAAAATCTCTCTTCTTATCTCAGGAGTAATGCTAACTTACCCAAGGTATGTGCATTCCTCGCGGCCGCGCTGGGCATAGAGGAGGGCCTGATGGACAAGGCAACGCGGCTGCTCACGCTCATCGATGCAGGCGCGCGGCGGTATGCAAAGTCCGCCGCTACCAGCGGCGCCAGCAATAAGAGCAGTGGTCAGGGCCGCTTCCCGCCCAGGCCCGAGTGGGAGATCCTCAACGCGGACGCAGTGGTACTCCTTGGGCTCACGCACGCGCTGTCCGAGTCGTACACGTGCATGTACGCGCTCAACAGCGCGCACCCCAACTTCACGATGCTCTACAAGACCGTCTTCCCAGCGGGGCTCGATGCGTACCGTACACCCGCGGGCGCGCGCGTCCCGTCGAGGGACGCGCTCACAGCGTCGCTCGCGGTCTCCCCCTCAATTACTAGTACTACCGGCGGCACCCTCGCGCCGCCCCAGTCCAAGTCGATATTCACGCGCTGCGGCATGAGCAGCACTGCCGTCCTCGCGCTGCCCGCCGTTAGCGACACGCATAGCCCGGCGTACTCCCCGGACCGGCCGTTGGAGGAGATGATCGTGGCGGGGACGACGTTTGGTAGTCTGCTCCCATCTTCATACTCCGCGCGCGCCGCTCCTTCTATCGTGGCATCACATCCCTTTCGCGAATGTGTCCATACCCCAATCTTCGTATGATCATCTGCCCCAGTCCCTTCGCACGCCGTATACCACTGTGCGTATATGCGCCTTGTGCTCGTGCGCCCGCTTGCGGGCGCGCTGCGTGTTTGTTCGTCCGTGCGATGCCCTCCCATCCCCCTGCGTCCCCCCCCCCCCCCCTCCCCATCCGTGTCCCCACATCTTCCCTCTCGCCGATACATCTTATCTACCGAACTGCTTCTGAGTTAGACATCGCTCCCAGGCTTCGGCCTCTTTAACCTCGTCTTCTCGCTCCTGCCAAAGAAGGTCCACTGAGCCGCTCTTTCTGTTTTACACGGCGTGCGTTGCGTTTGGGCTGGACACGCACAGATCGCTCGTCGGCCTCCTCGGGTTCATGCACGACCGGCTGCGTCTGCTTCTTTCCTATTTCGCATGGAGGTGCGATTGCGCGACACGTCCGTTCCTCCCCCCTTTTCTTTGCGCTCGTGGTTGTCGGTGCCACGACACTTCCATCGCGGCCAGAGGGACTTTCCCGATTTTTGGTATATCCGTTCGAGGCACGGGACGACGCTGTCTTCTTTCATCGGCTTTCTCTTTTCTTTTTTTCGATTTGTATGGAATGGAGGGAATGGCTGTCGGCAGAGAGATGCGACGCCCCGGAAGAAGCGACCACATTTTTTGTCCTCCATGTAGGGAACCAGGGGACCAATGCGAACTATGCAACGCAAGCCCTTCAGCTACAGTGATCCAACGATCAAGCTATCCGGTCTCGCACCTGGTGGTGTCACTGTGGGTCCATGGTCCCACGTCAGACAGAGCCGAGGATACTGGCCGATAGGGTACGGGTGATATTGGTCTTCATACTTGTATAGGTCACCGTCAGTATGCGCCTCTATCATTGAATCTCACAATTTACCTAGCGGAATGTACCTTGGGTCCAATGTCGTGGTGGTTCTCTTTCCTCTCTCCCACCCCCTTGGCCGTTCGTTTTCGCGCCCATGCTTCACGTTTATTCCGCGTCCCGGGCCCCGAGGAAACAAGCGAGTGTCGTGGGATCAGGACGGGTGTTTTTGCTTTTGTTCCGTTTACGTCTCTCGTTCCTAAGGAGGTGAAGAGGCCGTTGTGTCGCGCTAGGCAAGGGAGTAAACCCACTGTCTTTAGTGCGAAGTTCAGCCCCTCCAGGATGGGTGGTTTGTCTTTGTTTCGTTTACGTCGTTTGTCAAGGCAAAAAAGGTCGTGGTGCAGTGCGCGAGGCAAGATTAGATGGAATCACCATTCGCCGGCTACAGCGCTTCTAGCGTCGAGCGCAGTTGTTTTCGTTGCGGGACTGTCGTCCAATGTGTCGGGTGCCCGCAGTATAATCAGGGTTCAACTACGCGATGATTTCCGAGATCGCCCACGGTTACTGGATTTCTTGTCAGGTCAAGAAACATGCAGTAGAGAAGAGTCCAACTGTTCCGCTGCGTTAAACAGCTGGATAGCCCACGCGAAATACACCCCATGTGGTGAGATCCGGGTAGTGTAGCTGAATGAACACCCGTCGGGCCGTAGACACGGCAGTTTGACAGTGTGAATAAAGTAACTTATTTCCTAATAACACGGCCCTCCAAGCAGACCTGGTTCCTCCGGTGCCTGGTAAAAGAATTGAATTGACAGGTAGTATAGCTGTCAAGTCTAATAGTTGAATTTCAAACGGGTCATATCCCTCCGGGAGATTCAAATGTCGACCCACGGATTGTAGTCTGTAATCTGGCATAATTGTCCATAAATTTCTCCTGCTGGTCTGATTTAAAATTTTTAACAAGTCATATCCCTCCAGGAGATGTATACCAAAGTAAAACAAAAATAAAAAAGTGCCGGTTATCTGAATGCCCCCAGGAGGATTCAAGCCTCCGCCTCCCATTTATAGGATTTTGTTTGTCTATGACAATTAACGGGTGATGTGCCAATTCATCCACAAGGGCTTATTCGCCTACTTCGTAACCACCACATGCCTCAGCTCAAATTAAAACTGAATGGGAGACCCTCAAAACTCGGTCAGATCGGGAATAAATGGCCCACTAGCCCATGTAATGCTGCTGCTGCAAAAAAGGTTCGGGAAACATTTAACGCCCTCGGGAGGACTCAACCGCCTAACCTTACTCACGCGTATGTGAATCATGGGCAATGGGTGGTGTGCCGGTTCATCCACTAGGGTGTATCCATTACCAGCGATAGGATCGCTATATTAGCGAATGAACGAATGATTCAGATCAGATCATGCGCACACCTGAGCTTTCGAAAAATGGATATAGTGTTGAAAAGTTTTTTAAGGCCGAAATGTTAGAGCCCTTTTTTTAAAGCTGTGGAAATGTGTTTTGAGCCATTCCCGCCTCTTTTGATATACAGTGAAAAAGTTTTTTTTCGGCTTTGACCGTAGTCTTTTCTACATAGACTACAATAACTCGTACCTCGTTAGTTGTAGTTTGTTATTTAGGTGGGGTTGATGGGGGGGGGGGATTTATTATACTCGCATGGTCCAAAAGCCTGAATAACGAGTTTACGGGATACAAACATGCAGTACTATCAGAGTGGCTATCCATCAAGAAAATCTACAAGATGTAAACCGAGCACAACACCATTTCAGGGGGTCGATCACACAAGACACTGGCTTACTGTGACTGGCTGGCCACTTGTATGGCAGGATATGCGGTTAAAACACGTAGGACCTGACCACGAGCGGAGTACGCAAGTGTACATCAATCAAAGTTGTTATATAATCGTCGGAGTTTGAACCTTTCACGACATTGCAGAGAGCCGTGGTTGGGCCACTGTATGTGATTTTTTCTGATTTTCTGACAAAAGTAACCAAGACAAATGTTTTTCTCTCCCTAAGACCCGATATCCAAATTTAGAATTCCGACGGCCCATTGGGCACCGGCATTCACAGTCGTAGCCAAGTCGTAGCAGTGGTTGCAGTGGATGTAGCCATAGATGCAGACATGCGGTGATCTCGTTGTTCTCGGGGGACGGAATTCGTCTCATTAAATAGAGAGTTTGCGAGGCAGCCATTCGAGCCATCTGATGGCTGTTTTGCATTGCGCAAATTGATGGCTAATGGCTCGAATGGCTTCAATTCTTGCCCATATTTTTGGAGTCATTGAGTTGCCTCCGAGTTGTTCAGCTCATATATGGGTGATCAGTTCCACTCACAAGTCTAACAGCCAGATTGTAGGCCCAAAATTGTTAAGGTTGCTGAATTTGGAGGTCTTATGCAGTCTAGGGCATTCCTTAAGGTCCAGGTGTGATAACACACTTATTGACACTCTTTCTAGCAGAAAAGAGCATACACTAACTTTCTTTTGTCAGCCATCCATCGAGCATTAGCCATCAGTTTGCGCAACGCCAAACAGGCATCAGATGGCTCAAATGGCTGCATCGCAAACAGGCTAATAGCGAGCTTCCACTTGAGCAAGGCTGGCGTTGGGTGAGGCGCGTAGTGGGCGAATCGGAAAGCGCCCCGACCTGTCCCGAGGTGCACCGCCACACCTAATCGAGGCAGTGACGTGATGTTATGACTCAACTCTTTCATCGGCACCTCCGTGCATCTCGCCGTGGGTTTTCTCCGGATCATGTTTCCTTCGGCTTCCTGTGCGCACGGCGATAATACGGCGCAAGCTTTCACCAACCTGATCTCGAGTGATTCAGTGAATGAATGATTAAACGCATGCTACTCGAGAACTATCATTCACTGAGCAATTTTAGTTTTTTTTTAGTGACTTTACCTGCCTATTTCGTACCGTAAAATAATCCCTGCTTCTCTGCAGGGAAACCGTCGTATCCTCTTTTAGTCCCACATTCACTTCGCCAACCTCTCGGTATTAAAGTCTATTAACAGCCTGGAGAATCTCATTTTTTTCGCCTCGGCCGGCGCATCGCCCGCAAGGGGCGGTTCTTTTTTAGACGGTAACTACAAGACGCCACGGAGTCGGGACATGGGATTCAGTTTCTCCCACCATCTTGGCAGATGTGGTTTCTTGATGCCGAGGTCTTATATCTCTGGACCGTGGACGTGGCTTCTCTTCCTGCGTTCCGCACTTTGTCCGGCCCATGTTTCTCTCACTTTACAATGTACTCCCATTCTTCGAGTAATTTCCTCCCAATGTGCTACATAATTGAACCTCATTTCGCTTCCAAGTTGAATATACGGCACCGGTGACAAAAAAAAAGTAGTAGATGCCGCAGTGACGGCGGGGAGTCGGCCCTCGGAGACCAATCATTATTGGACGGTTGCATTTTGGGAGCGGTTCTTGCTGCGGATTGTTGAAGGCGGTGCCTCATTGAGTGGAGATTGGATCCCGGCTCCCGTTGTGATTTCACGACACAAGAAGCTCAGCCGACAGATGTTGTTGAACATCAACGGATAGCCGCCCCAGCTCTGCTGTTTTTTTACCGTTTGCTGCCTTAAAATCGGTTCTTATATTCCAATGTTTATAATGATGGAATGTAAATTCACCGCAGCATCTCCCTGTTTGTTTGCGGCACTTGTTTTCCTGCAGAACATCAACAGTGAGTATTCCTGCACATATTATGTGCTTTATGTGAGTCTGAGAATGAGAGTGTCTGTGGGAAGAATACGGAATATACATACACCCAGATGGATGGCACTCCTTTGTAAGACTATGGTTGCCTGCAGTTTGACATGCAGTGAATGTAACATAGTTCGGCAGACCTGTTGATAGTAATCTTGAATTGCTGCCCTATGACAGCGGGAATCCGTAGGATAGATAAGAGTACTGAGTTTTCACTATGCATTCCATGATCCCCAACAATGAAAGTACCAGCACAGCTTGAGAATCTAATCCAGTACACGACAGTGGCTGCTAGCACTGCGGAGGAGATCGCTGGATCGTTCCAGATTCCCTTCTTATCCTCAGCCACAGCATTGACTTTGTCAATTCTGAAATGTGTGGAGGTAAGTCTAGCCCATCACTAGTAAAAAGAAATACCTCCTGATGGTGATATAGGCTGTCAGGTCCAACAGGGACGAGTGGATGATAATGGTTGAACAAATCCACGAGATCCTTTGTACTATTGTGGTGCTGTGCTCCACATCCGAAATTAAAGGGGTGCTTCCAATGGAACTCTTATATGACATTGCAAATTTGCGGAGTGTGTAATCATTTCATTTTTCGGGATGCACACAGTGAGACATTATAGCAGAACACTTCAGAAGATTTTTGCTTTCCTTCAAGCACTGCAAAGAATGGGAAAGATCAAGCAACTGTTCAAACAAACTGATAATGCTGGAAAATTGGAGACATGCAAGCAGGAACTCCATAAGACCATTGGGATGTTCAGAGTATGTCTGAAGGCAGTCCGGAGGCATTGTCATCTCATCACTAAAATTCATTCAGGTTAGAGCTGGGGGATCACTGCTCTCTCAAATAGGGCAAATTAAAAAGGATGCAAAACAGCAACATGATGAGCTTATGGCTCTCCTCAAAGCTGATCCAAACCTTACCTGGTCGGACCGCTCCTCTGTTAGTTGCAGTTCAAAATCAGACTATAGTTTCCCAGCTCATCTTTTTATTTAGGTGATTGGGGCTCTTTCAAGTGCTGGGAATAGGTCCGTTATTGTGGTAGACGTAATGATCCGCAGTCACTGATTTCCATAGTAGTTCAGGATCCTTTAGTCTACTTCCACCATCTCCCAAAATCTTCCATGGTCGTGAATCAGAGCTGAAGGATGTGGTTGATGTACTCCTCCAAAATTCTGCCCGCATTGCCATTCTCGGTGCAGGTGGGATCGGAAAGACCAGCCTTGCCACAGCAGCCCTCCATAATCCACAAGTGGAAGCCAGGTATTCACAACGATACTTTGTTCCATGCCACTCGAGCCCCACTTGCCCTGAGTTGGCAGCGACAATTGCAGATCATATTGGGTTGGAGAAGGGCTCAAACATGTCAAAAAGAGTTGCACATTATTTTTCCCATGCTCCTCCTTCCCTTCTGGTCCTGGACAATCTGGAAACCCCTTGGGAGGCAATATCATCTCGCTTTGAAGTTGAAGAGTTTCTATCTCTCCTGACTGATGTCCCCCACTTGAGTCTCGTGGTGAGTGTTGATTTCGAGTTTATCCAATAATGCCTTGAACTTCTTGTAGATTACCCTGAGAGGTGCTGAGCGACCAAGTACAGTCAAATGGACCAGGCCTTTCCTGGCACCTCTCAAGCCACTTTCCAATGTGGCAGCTTGGCAGACCTTCATTGAGGTTGCTGATGAAGGCCATGATGATGCCATCATCAAAGAACTCCTTGATCTAACAGGGAATCTTCCACTGGCGGTCAGTCTCATTGCAAGTGTTGCTGCTTCCGAAGGATGTGCCCAGGCACTTTCTCGTTGGAAATTGGAAAGTACCCATATGCTTTCAGAAGGGTATGACCAGAGATCGAGCCTGGACATTTCCATAATGTTATCATACACCAGCTCCCGGATGACCCCAGGTGCTCAGGAATTGCTTGGCATTCTGTCAATGCTACCAGATGGGCTCAGAGATGCTGATTTGGTACAAGCCAAACTTCCCATTGCTGACATCCTTGCCTGCAAAACAACTCTGATTCGGACATCATTGGCCTTTGTTGACCAGAATCAGCACCTGAAAGTGCTGGTTCCAATTCGAGAACACATCCTCCATATTCATCCTCCAGCAAATACCTTGAAGCTGAAGCTACGAGAACATTTCCATCAAATTCTTGATCTTTGGAACCAATTCAAGGATCTCAATGTAGCTGATATACTCCCTCAAATTTCATGCAACTTGGGAAACTTCAGCACTATTCTCTATAATGGGCTTGAAACAGATGGGTCTGATATTGTCCAGAATCTTCAGAGCATCCTATTTCTCAATCAATTCTATGCTCGGGTTCAAGACACATACTCACCCCTTCTGCTCCAGCTTTCTGGGAAAATCCTGCATTGGAAA